CACGTATGAGAATGCAAAAAATATGGAAATAAAATATGTATCAAACGATTTTAACATCTTAACAATCAATACAAATAAATGGTTGCTATCAGGAACCGTTTGTTCGTATCGAAAATTAGCATGACAACCATGTATACAATAACATGGGAGAATTATCGAATGTAATACCACAAGAGGTTTCAGGATTACCGGATAATACTTTTACCTGTCACGAAACGCGTTACGCAGCAACACCACGACTCCGAAGGAGGAGTGGTGTTGCTGGTAACGCGTTGAGTGTCAGGTAAAAGTATTAGGTAATCCTGAAACATCGAGTGGTATTCCAAAGGTTATACAACGAACTAAACTTCAATACTTTATCAATCCTTATAATCATTAATGACAAATTGACAATATTGCCACCAAGCGCGATAATCCCAAAAGGCTTATCACTTATTAAGCCTCTCGTGTCATATGGGAATAATGTACAGTGAGTTGTATAATCGCTGTAATTCTCTCTAGTTAAACAAATGGAAAAGAGAATTTTCGCTGTAATTTTAAAAATCGTCACTTGTCTCATGGGATTTCTAACACATGAGTGGAATAATCTAGGACACCCGTCTCTTCAAATTTCCACCATTAAGCGTTTGTCATTTATTTGTTCCACCTTACTCTCCAAAATCTGCTTATTTGACTACACTACTAATTAAACTCAAATTCGAAAAATATAAATGTCTTATGGACCCTTGTAAAGGACCAACACCGCTGGTGAAGTACCCAACTTTCCAAAAATATTTTAGAGACCTTCCTCACGGAAACTAGTGTTTAAGTTATTTGAGTACTTTTTCAATTTCTATCCCTGTTTTTTCTAAAGTATGTTAAGTATAGAATAAAAGCTATAAATACAATATTGGCAATAAATATCATACTGGCGTATGTGTCTAAATTATTTTAACGAAGATCCTACAAAGGGGCGTATGTCCATTGGGTACTAATTTTTCTATGACAGCTGAACGATATGGAAAATCTGTTGTAATAGCCTGAAGCTATGACAATTTATCTGCCTCAATATCTGTACACAAAAAAATATATCTGTACCTCAGAGGTAAACTGTATTAAGTCACTTTTTTTTCGAAAATGGGGCTTTAGCTGAATACTACTTCTAATAACTTACTTGACCTCCGGAAAAAATTTCATACACCTAGCTTTTAAGACAACCGAAGTACCCAGTTGGAACCTGTGTCAAGTGACTCACCAGGCTTAAAGGTAAATTGTACTAGAATCACTTAGTATCAGTATATTAAATTATAATATTATGACTTAATACAATTTACCTCTGAGGTACAGATATAGGGTGGGGACTTTAACTGCAACTAATTCGCTAGAGCCGTCGGATAAAATATGTGGACAAAACGCAAAAACACGTCGATTAAAATTTTTTGCTTAAGATTTTTTGGCATTAATTTTTTTATACAGGGTGTTCCATGAACAGCTGTACGGTTATCAACTTTATTTTTTCAAATGGTAGCCTCTGTATATTATGACATTTCTGGATTCTGCGGAAAATTCTAGACATATTTCACTTCAATGTCATATAGCTATCTTCAACTGTTTGGGAAATATTGACAGTTGAAAATTGACTTTTTTGCAGCTTTGACAGGCTGTAAAACCTGAACGGCTAATTTTACCGCAAAATCAATTTTACATTCTCGTCTGCAGCTTTTGATAAACTATTATTTGGCACCAACTTTGAATTTAACCGAAGATTAAATTTAACCAGAATTTTTCACATGGATTAAATTCAAAGTTGGTATCAGATGACAGTTCATGAAAAACTAAAAGAATGTATGATCGGTTTTGCTTTAAAATTAACCGTTCAGGTTTTACAGCCTGTCAAAGTTGCAAAAAAAGTCAATTTTCAACTGTTAATATTTCCGAAACAGTTAAAGATTGTTGATGAAATATGTCTAGAATTTTTCGCAGAATCCAGAAATGTCATAATATACAGGGGCTATCATTCGAAAAAATAGAGTTGATAACCGTACAGCTGTTCTTGGAACACCCTGTATAAAAAAAATAATGTGAAAAAATCTTAAGCAAAAAATCTTAATCGACGTGTTTTTGCGTTTTGTCCACATATTTTATCCTACGGCTCTAGCGAATTAGTTCCAGTTAAAGTCCCCACCCTGTATATCCGAACAGAGTGATAGCTTGTTAATTAACAACCCTTTTTTTAAATGACAATCCTGTAAAATTATCTATTTGTACCTTACGCCCCTTTGTCAGATTAGCGACGATTTGTTTCAGACAAAAATGAAGCTGATACATTACACGCTACGTGCTCTTCTCATAATTACAATTACGATGTGTCGCGCCTACCTATCGCACCGGAGGCGCAGGCTTATCAAGTAACACCAATTAATAACCAAGCAGCAGGCATCTTTTACCAATCTCTAGGCACCGTAAAATTATATGCTGATTAATTTACTCTCTTTTCGTTTTCAAATATTTCCTTTTCCATTCATAAATTCCGAGTTGTTGAAAAAATATATGCAAAATCAAAAAACGTGTCATGATTCCAATCTTGGAAATGATAAAATATACGTGCATAGTTTCCATTGCACGGATTTGCTCGCCTTGTTTGATGCTCAAATTAAAACATTAGAAAAGAAACTTCATTTAGTCGCTCATACATTTGAAACCAAACGTAAACGCAGAGGTTTAATAAAGGGAGTTTCAACTGCATTTAAATTGTTGTTCGGTACACCAGATGCAAACGATGCAGTTTATTATAATGACGGAATTAATTCTTTGATAAATAAAAATCACGAGACTCAGATAATGTCTTCTGCGATTGAAAATTATAATAGTTCTGTTGTTTCTTTAAAATTAAATGGAGAAAAATTAAATACGAATTTCAAAAAATTCAATACATTTTAATGACCAAACTAGAACACAATTGACCGAGATTTTGTATGTGACTTCAGTAAGTAAACATATTAATTTATTATTGCATTTTATAACTGAATTAACTGAAGAATATGATTTGATAATTTCTTCAATACTTTTTGCCAAGCAAAATGTTATTCACCCAAATGTAATCAATCCTAAAGATTTGAGAAATCAACTTTTCAACGTTAAGCTGGATTCAGATTCAACTTTTCCAGTCAGTTTAACAAATGATGAAGATACATATAAGTATTTTTCTATTTGTGATCTAAATGTTATTTATAATAATGAAATTTTAATATTCTTATTTAAAATACCGCTTACTTCTAGATTAAGTTATCATTTATACAAATTATTACCGCTTCCTGTTTTTTATCTTAAGGGCTCTATTTATACATATATTATCCTACGTACCCCTTCCTAATCCTAAGTACTAGTAAAACTGGGTTTGCTTCGATAAAAGACCTGTCTAGTTGCAAGAAGATCGACGACAAGACCCAGTTATGTAAATATTTGATAACTTACCTGACTGCCCGGAACGCAAATTGTGAAGTGAGCCTGAAACTCGATCAAAGCAAACAGATTCCTGATGACTGCAGCACGAAAACCATAAAAGCCAATTTGAAAATTTACCACAAAATTTTCCAGAATCAATGACTGCTTATTGTCTCTTCACCTGTTGCAGCAACTCTGTCATGTGATGCCACCAAGAACTTTATAGATTTCACATTGACGGAATCTGACTTGAAGTTGAAGCCTCATTATAAATGTTTCACTCTTTCTACTGTTCTGTCCCCGACTTCAAATCAAACAAGCAACTTCACCCATTTCGTTCCTGACATCAACATTAATTCATGACGACTGCTGTGTACAAGAAATCGAACAAATGAAGAAGATATCTATGAATGATATCAGCCAATCTTCAACACCGTCCTATCTGTAGCAATCATCTTCATAATCTTGATTGCAATATATTGTTGCTGTTTCAAGTAATGCTGAAGCTGTACATGAACACCTTATTTCGGCCGATTTTCCCCCGCAAAAACAGTTACACATGGAATCAGTATCTACAGTCATGATTCATCGATATCCAACAACAACATCTTCTTGAATTCCAATAAACCTGTCAGATTTTTACAGCTAATTCCAAAAGCTCGACAAGAACCAGAAGCACTCGAGTTGAAAGCAGTTGTTGGTACTACTAACAAACCAGATGATACTCAGCAATACCGAAACCCTCTGATGCCAAGAGGGAGACGATCAATTTCCAAAAGGAAATAAAACTAATCAATCAAATCAACCTATTGATTAATTTTACCGGGGGAGAAATATGTTATGTGACGTCACTGCTTTGCTGCTACTGTCGCGCCACTGACCTGCAACGAAGCTACCACGCTTGGAGTCGTTGGAGAAGCAAGTATCGGGACAAGAGCTAGCAAAAAATGTAGCGGTTCACACGAATATAACTAAAAATGTGTTGATTTCATTTATCTCAAGGCTCGGAAAAGCTAAAAAAAACTGAAAGCCACGTGAACTCATTCACGTTCAATTTTGTTTCACATATAGAAAAAGGTATATAGCCTCAGTATAAAGGTAGGGAGTTAGCGTAGACTTCTAGCCCATCAGTACTCTCTTAACTGAAATAGGTAGGACTTCAGTTTTCACAGATTACCAACATTTGTCTTTAAGTTGCCATATAGCAGCTCAGATCAATGGTTTCTGAGCTGTTTAGACTCTAAAGACTTTGATTATTTTCAAATTAGTCGACTCAACTTAGCATTAACTCATAATTAGTCCCAAAACAACTAAATGATTATAATTCGGTACCTGTATAAAATGTCTCCATATTTTAAAACAGTATCCAACATTTTTGGTATCCAATGTTTGGCTTTACACAGCCGCAGCATTATCAAAGCTGATAAAGCATTGCCCAAGCTTTGTCTCCCAAGATACTTGGAAAAATTTGGATTTGTTTGACAGGTACTAGCCCGTAAGATACCCACGAACTTTGGTACAATTTCTGAAAGTCAATAATTATTATTAAAAAAATTTCTCAAAAATGCAATCAAAACCTGTATAATAAGTTAACTTAGCATTTTCCCCTTTCAGATAGGTGGGAATCGGTACAGGAAATCTGCAAAAATCCCCCTTCTGCACTGGCCCTTCTGCCAAAAAAGACGGACGGTTTTCTCCTAGAAAATCATCTTCAATGTCCGGCGATATTTCCTGGATTCTTAGGTATGCAGGATCGATTTCAGCTTTGTCTTCTTCCACGTAATTCTTGAGGTTGACCAAATGGGGATCCGGCAATGGAGGAACTACAATAAAATCATTCTTAGTAGAAATTCTTATCAACATACGGTTTAATTACGTTCTTCAATTATTTGAGTAAACACTGTATCTTGAGGAGCAATATCTTCAAAATTTTCAGGCGGCTGTATATTAATTTTAACAATTCTAGCTATTCCGCAAGGCATTACGTGAAACTTGGCATAAGATTCTTTGGTGCTCGGGAAATTTCTGTATAAATATTCCACAAGAAAAAAAATTTGTTTGAAACGACCTAGAAACGAGAATCCATAACCAGGTTGTCCAGTCCAAACGTTTCCATATTCGTCATGCTCGCCAGGATCGAAGTAATAAAAAACACCATCTTGCGACCATATAGCTGCGTATTTGTTTTTAATATAAAATATCCCCGATGGGTGTTCATCGAAAAATGTTGCAAGAGACTTTTCAATAATGCTTTTCGCTTTTTCTTCCAGGGCTGATGTTAATTCTTCACTCAGCTCTGCGTTAGGACTTACGAAAATTGTTAGTTTCTGGTCTCCCAAAAAGAAGGAAGGATGCACCTTTTCTGGAGGTACTTCTATAAGGCATCTGTCACCTTGTTGGGTGCTTCTAACGTAAATTTCGTCACCTCTAATTAGGATTTCGTCTAATAAGTGTTTGGTCCAATGAGCCATTTTAAACAAGTAGGAGTAAACGCAGGCAATGACTGAATTACATGCACCTGAAATTAAAAAAAAGTCTTACATTATTTTGGATAAAGGCAGGTCATCGCGCGAGAACTCTTCTTCAAATAATTGGAAGCGTGAAGAAGATTCTAATAGATATTGGTACAGTAGTCACCGCATTTGGTACAATTCCCATAATATTGTGATTCTATTGTTCGTGAAAAAGTGTTATTGTTAATGAACCCGCTTTTATTCAAATTCTCACCTTGTAGGCCATTAGATTTAAACGAGAATCTTTTATGATATTGGCTGAAATGCCCAGTCATAATAGTAGCATCGCCAATAACGTCATATTGATTCCAAACTTTTTTCAAAGTGGATATGGCCAATTTTTGAGATATTCCTTCAGGTTTAACATATTTGGGTTCCGGCTTTGGAGGTTTCTTTCTTTTATCTGGAGGAATCCACTTCTTGGTGGGTACCGCAGGGTAATTGATGACAGGTTTTGGGCGTGCTGCGGGCTTGCGCTTTTTGTGGTCACCTCTAAAAATACCCCAAAGAAGATGATTATTATAAACATTCTTAATTGTTAGGCACTAACCTCATTGCATGGAATTTTTTCCCATTGATTCTTTTTACTAGAAATTTGAAATTTAGATTTGACAACACACAAAAAATTTAAAAATTAACTGTCGACGGCAATGGCTGTCAATAGAACGTCAAATTCGCAATCATTATTACCCACAAAATATCCTTCTTTTCATTTAACACAAATTTTTGTAGCGCCTATGTTTAGTTCTTAATCAGTAAAAATGTCAAATCCCAGGTAAGACCACACACACATTAACTTTTTATTATAATTTGAAAAGGGAATAATTTTCTTTCAGTGAAAAGTCTTCGACTTCTGAAGGAGACGATGATGATTCCAGTATTGCCTATCCGATGTTCCAACCAACCAACAAATATCCAGATCCAGTTAAAAATCAAAAAAGAAAAGATCGGGTGTTGTTTAAAAAACCTTTGGAAGTCATACCAGAACAGCAGAGCATTATAAGCGCAAAAATTACACCTTCTATGGGGTAAGAATTCATATAACTTTTTCAAATATATTTCAACTTGTATTATTTAGGACAAGAATTGATCTTCAATATATAGCTCAAACAGTCTTAGAAGATGACCAGCCACGTCCAAAATACATTGTCCCGAAAACTAGAAAGCAAAAGGAGCAAATGGAAAAAAATAGGGGGAACACCTCCAAGAAATTTTGCAAATATGAATCCGTTAAGATGGCTGATCCTATTCCAGGAAAAAAATTAAGCCGAGAGGTAGGTACTGTAATCCAGCTCCAGTTCCTATGAAAAAAATAATTTCTTGTAGTTTGAAGTTGCGTCACCAGGACCATCAAGTGCCAAAGTATCACCGAGGAGAGTGACACCAACATCCAGCTGGCTCTATCCAGACCCTCAAGACTCCAAAGACTTAGCCTTGAGGAAGCCTAAAAGTGGAATTATTATTAATGTATCTGACAAAAAAGCGGCTTCTGAGGATTATGACAGTTTTGATTTAGTTTTTAAAAGAACTCCTAGAACTGAAGGGTGAATAAATAGGTATACTATATTTAATACATTTATTGATGTAAAATTTAGGTCGAAGAGGAAGAGGAGCAAAAAATCAAGTAAATTAGATGATATTCAGGAAGAAAGTGAGAGATCTCCAAGGAAAGGCAAGAAGAAGAAGAAAGCGAAAAAGAAAACAGAAGATTTGTTACCGGAAGAAAATTTTCTAGCTTTGATCGAAAAGGAAATGGAACTACAAGAAATGTTTGGTGAAGGTGACGGTGGACCGCAAGATTACTTGACCAAACAATTTAGAAGAAAAGTGTCTTTGGTAATAGAAAGAAGGTTAAATGTCTTGAATTAAATTTCCTTTTTTTTTAGATGTCTCAGTCTACATCCTACCAAATCCAAGACTACGATTTAGAAAGAGAACCTACCCTGTCACAACCAGGCCTGGATAAATTTGCTCAAAAATTCCGCAGGGAATCAGAAATAAAACGTTTCGAGCCCAAAAAGAGACGCTTCAGACGCGGTACTTTAGAAAGTCACTCTTTTACCAACATTTACCAGCCGATTTTGAAAGATTTCTATTTCGGATCTAGGCAAGGAACCATGCATCAAGGTATAACTTTGAGACCTTCTAGAATAAGATAATGTAAGTGTCCATTCAGTATCCCATGTGCATTTGATTTAGGACATGGTTGGTTTTTTTTATTGTGGTAATTTTGATTTTGCCCATGGGTATAAGTTAATGAAAAAGATTTCATACAATACTTATTTTTGTGACCGGAAAAAAATCAGAACGAATTTTTTATTTTTGCGTCGGAAAATATGTGCTCAAAGCACGAAACTCCGAACTAGTCTGAACACCTTGACTCTTGACGCTGATACAAAAGAATCGAAAAAAAATGTTGTTGGAGTTCGTTCAAATTGGGAGTCAAAGGACCTCGCACACTTCTTATGAGATTTTGGGATTCGGTCCATTTTTCTGAAAATTTGATATGATAATGCTACTCTGAACATTCTGATTAAAAGTGTCCATAGGCACAACTTGATCTTATAACTAATTTTCGAGATACAGGGTGTTAAAACAGTATTCTTGGACTAATTCGCCTTAAAAAACGGGTTTTAGTGCAGAACTCTTTTCAAAATATATTTATTGATTGTGCAATCTTTAGTAAAATTTGGACTTTTCAAAGTGAAAGAAAGAAAAAAAAAATACTATTTCAAGGCTCAGTGTGAGATAAGTGGACTGTATCAAATCTTTTAAATGCAAATAAAATGGAGGTTTTGAGACCTTACCTTGAACTTCTGGCTTCCATGAAGAGGTGTCCACGGACACCTTTTTCACACACACACACGTTTTCCGGACTGGCCAGTCGACGCGTTTTTTAGTTCTGTTTCTAAACCGTGAAACTCGGCAAATTAAACACTCAGTTGCGGGTTCTCTATAAATTTATGCGGGTAAACTAATAAAAATTAAATGCGGGTTCTCTATTAAAAGTTTTTGGAAAAAACAATGTCGTTTGGTTGACGTTCGTTCTGATTCTCTCCGCGGCTAATAGCAATATTTTTGCTGGCACCAAAGTAGTTTTTTTGTCCTTTTTCACCGCACACGCGCGATATTCCTTTAAAGGCCTCAAACTATTAGACTTGAATTTATGAATAACGATACACAGTGAGCCAAGAAAAGAAGAGAGTTAAATGTGATTGATTAAACATATTATTTTGAATCAAAACAGAACATTGATAGGCACCTATTATTAGTTATTAGTATTTTAAACATAATAATATTCTACTGCACAAATACAAGATGTCCCTGTCTCCAACTGAATCATTTTAATAGTTAATATCCTCTAAACTGGAAAAGATAAAACGATGCAGTTCCATCATTGTTTTATGTAATATTCCTTACTTGAAATAATACCCAAAAATATATATTCTAACTGGTTTATTAAACACAATGGTACAAGTCCAAATCTATACTGATTTGCATAAAAATGCATAAATAATTTCCTAGCAGGAGCAGAGAAGGTGGTGGTAAATAAATGTATATTTATTATAAACATAATAAATACTTGGAATATCACACTCTCTGCCTTAATTATGTTACATATTAATTATCATACATAGATCATAAATCATACAGCAAAAATAAGCTCAATAACTCGTCAGTAACTCAAACGATCAGGTGATCTTCTATTACGCTTTGGTCTATTTTCAATGAGAAGAGAAGTGCATGATGACGAAGCAGTTGGTTGATCTTCCTAGAGTAAAGAAAAAGGATTCTCAATTTGAACGTTAGGGGAAATTACCCTAACCGGAGAAATTATTTTAGCTGGAGAAGCTTCGACCACATTATTTTCATCATCATTCACTTCAACGATATCAGTCATAACAGTTTCCCTATCACGATAAACTGAGTTCAAAGTATCACATTTTCGTAGTTGATTTTGATGTCTTTTCCATGTTAGTTCACTTTTATACACTTTCACCAAGTACACATTTTTACCCAATATTTTTGTTATATGAGAAACCATGAAGGTTTAACAACATTACGATAATCCTTAGCATAAACGCATTGCCCGACAGCGAATCTCTCGTCTCTCCCCCCCTTAAAATATTTTTTATTTTTATTTTGAGCATTTTTTAAATTTATTTGAATATCTTCGGAAGATTTGGGTGGTTTGTCATTAATATTGCACGGGTTTAACAAATCAAACCTGGAACGAATTTGTCTGCCCAAAAACAAACGAGACGGAGTTTCACTCGTAGAACAGTGCTCAGTAATCCTATACGTCATTAAAAATCTATCTAATGCGCGATTGAAATTAATACTATTATTATACAAATTTAATTATTTAATTAAAAAACTTTTAACTATTTTGACACTATTCTCAGCAGCTCCATTTGAGGCTGCGTGATAAGTAGGTGATGTTAAATGGTTAATATTATTTTGCGATAAAAATAATTCAAATTCTGCAGACACAAACTGTCTACCATTATCTGAACAGAGGGTCTTTGGTAAACCATACCTAGAAAATAATCCTCTTAACCTATCAATAGTCTGAACAGACGTTATACTTGTCATTATAAAAACTTCAACCCATTTAGAGTAGGCATCCACAACAATTAATAGTTATTTATGCACCTAGGTCAAAAAGTACAGCTTTAACGCCCGCAGCGTGTGTAATAGCCTGAGGCGTTAGCCGAGGGCTGTTTACAGGCTGAGGGCGTTAAGCTCTTTTTGACCGAGGTGCATACAAGATTTTATGCACGATGAGTATGTTTTCATTTTGATATTTGAAAAATTATATATTTTTAATTTTGTAATGACATCAATCAAAAATATTTCAAAATATAAATGTTCATGTTCATCGCATAATAAGTCATAAGTTTTTGTCAAATTTAGATCAAGAAAGCAATTGTTGACAAAAGTATCACGTAACTATTATAGCAACCCAGAACAATACAAACAAATAATTATTTTACTCTGTGTATTTTAAGTGTATAGTTTTCTGATGATGATGGCGTCTAAAAATGGAGCAAAATAGCCTCCCCAAGTTTATTCTTGAGGCAGTTGAAGAGGCCAAGAAAGATCTATTACCTTGAAAGTCCAAAAGACTATGAAAAAACATATAGGGACTTTATTTCCTGGTGTGCCCAACATGGTATCAATGAGCAGCATTAATTTGTAGAAGAAACTGTCCTGGCATAAACATTAATGAAAAATGCAATAAAAAATCAGCCATCCACCCTTCGGAGATATTACTCAATGTTGAAGGCAATTTTAATATGAAAGTAGATTGAATTTTATTGTTATTGCTTATTCCATTATTCTTATTAATTGAAATAAAGCTTGTTTTGTTGAGCAAAGTTGATATTTTTTGGATTGAGCAATAGAAATGCAAAAGGTTCAAAAAATTGAGTCGAATTCTTGCTTATTTTTGAACTTTCAGGCCCGCGGGCATAAAAGGCGCCCTAGGGCGTAAAAGTACTACTTCACGCTCTAAAATGCGGGCGTAAAAGTGCAGTTTTACGCCCGTTCGTGCATAAACAATATTTACCATTGATAGGTCCCAAAAAATCTATATGTATCCGGTCCCAAGGTTTATCAGCAATTGGCCATAATTGCAAAATTCCTTTTCTTGGATTTGCTTGTGAACCCTGGCACGCAGTACAAGCTTTACATATTTCTACGATATTTTTGTTTAAACTAGGCCACCGCACATATGATCTAGCTAAGGACTTCATCTTGACAATGCCCATATGGGTGTTATGTAACATCTTTAAAATGAAAGTTTGCAAAGATTCCGGAACAACTACCCGGTTCCCCCATACAAGGACATTATCAATTATTGATAACTCGTCGCGCTTACTAAAATATGGTTTTAATAATAGTTCGCGAGTTTCCTTTGGCCAACCAGATAAAACAAATGTGTAAATTTTGTACAAAATTTTATCCTTTTGAGTTGCCCTTTCTATTTCAAGTAAATCAATTTTCAATTCAGAGCATTCATTCAGGGACGGAGCCAAGGAGGGGTTGGGGGGGCAACGCCCCCCCCCACCCCCCAAAGTTTCTAAAATATATCGAAAGTTGGGAAAACTTGGATGAAAAATTTAAAGTTGGGAAAAATTGGCAGACAAAAATTTGCGGACCTTATTTGCGAAGACTAATTAAAATTATCATTAGGATCGTGTCGATTCGTAATGAATTGCAAAATCACCGGACAACAAGATGACGAAATCTCAATAATCGCGGCGATCTCTTGACCAAACCGTTCTTATTTTTTTCTCACTTTATTTGAAAAACTCCAGATTCTTATTGTCACTTTTTCTCCACTACATGATGATGTTATTAGATTTTTGATCAGACGTTTCGTTTCTTCGCGATCATCATCAGCTCTGTTATTTCAAATAGTCGAATTTTTTTTATTTTATGCCGAATAAACTCTACTTTTCATTCTAAATCCAACGACATATCAAGCTCATAATTCCAGGAATAATAATTTCCACTAGTGGTCCCATTAACGGGCCTCCGCGATCTCCGGTCATTACACCGATGGATTTTGTCTTTTGAGGATTCCTTAAGAATGAAGTTAACTGACTTTTCAGAATCCATCGGTGTAATGTCTGGAGATTGCGGAGGCCCGTTAATGGGACCACTAGTGGAAATCAACAAATATTCCTGGAATTATGAGCTTGATATGTCATTGTATTTAGAATAAAAAGTAGAGTTTATTAGCCATACAATAAAAAACTCGACCATTTGAAAAAACTAAGTTGATGATGATCGCGGAGAAACGAAACGTCTGATCAAAAATCTAATAACATTATCATGTAGTGGAGAAAAAGTGGCAATGAGAATGTGAAGTTTATTTTGCCATATCGCATTTCAAATAAAGTTAGAAAAAAAAAAAAAAACGATTTCGGCAAAATTCGGTTTTTCATGGATATCTTCGGAATCATTCGGAAACTCCAAAATATCAAAACATGACGCCACTGAGCTCAGTAATGCGCAACTTTTTTCAAATTTAACCAACTCTGTATCTCTTATGGTTGCGAAGATCCCTGTAGACTGCATCCTTATCTGGGACACCCTGTATACATCTCAAACTTTTT